CATGTATGTTTACCGTTGTTTTTGTATTATTATTATTATTATCATCATCATCATCATCATTGTTTGTTTTTTCAATTGTTTCAATTGGCTCGGATTCTTGTTGTTTTAGTGAATCACTACGATCTCGTTCTTCCTTTATATCATCTTGAGTAATTTTAGTTGTTAATTTTTCATCAGTTAAATTTCTTGTCAATATACCTGGATGACCTGGTTGTGGTAGTTCAGATGATTTACTTGATGTAGATTCTTTACTAGGTGTTGTTGATGTATCATTTGACGGTATTGATATCGGAGATTTAGGTCGTGATATTGAACCTGATCGAGATGATGATGCTGATGATGTTGATTGTTGTACACTAGTTTCAGATTGTTTATTTGAATTTTGTTTTATTGATGTAGCACCAGATGATTCTTCAGTTGGTCCTGTAGATGCTGCTGATGATTGACTTGTATTCTAGAAAAGCAAATCAATGATTCAATTTAAATGTCATAATCCAACTTTTACACCTATATAGTAAGGTGACGAGAATGTACTCATCACAAATACATACACACAATGTATGACAATGATAAACCTCATTTTTATGTGAACTGTTTGAACTCATCAAGAGAATCTCCTCAACTGTATCAGAGAACATTGATTAGTATGTATTTTTCGAAGTTTGTTCTGAAAGTATATTTACTTAAATGTTGATACACAAAGTTCTTAATGACAAAAAATGAAATAGGAACATCAGAATCTGCTGGCGTATATCTTGCTTACATTATATAATGTCGTCAAAAATTCGATAACTTCTTCAACTCTTGGATTTTTAATAGAGCAGTACAAAACTCATCTATATTTATACCTTATCTGTTTGAATATTGGAAGTATCGACTAATCTTTCAGCAAATTGTCGTCGAAAATCAGCTTGTATTTGTGTTTTATTTGGATCATGTGTCAATTTAGTACTTGTGGTTGCAACTGAATCTGTTGTTGTCGATTCAATCGGATGATTTTCATTAGTTGCTGTTGTAGATGATACTGATGATGTTGTGGTCGTAGCTGGAGTTGATGTATGTGTCGATTGTGTTGTAAGTTCTACCGGTTTATGTGATACCGGATCAACAATAACTAATGGATTTCTTTTTCGTTTTTCAGTAGCCACTGATGGTATTGCTGATGGATATAGATTCGGTTGTTGTATAGTTGATACAATTGGAGGCTGAGATGTTGGTACAGTTGATTGATCAATCTATATAAGAGAAAAATAAAATCTTTTTGAATTTCTTTTCAAAAAAAAGATAAAACTTATTTACTTGTGAATGTTGAGTTGGTTGTGTTGTTAGAATTTGTTGTTGTTGTTGTTGCTGTTGTTGTAAACTAGGAATTTGATATGGTGATTGTTGTGGTATTTGTCCTTGATTAGACATTTGTGGTGGTACTGGTTGTGTTGGATAATTTGCTGGCATTTGATAAGCTATGAAATGAAAAATTTATTGATTTTTAGAAAATATACAAGAAAAAAAAAACGACTTACTCTGATAAAATTGTTGATAAACAGGTTGTGTTGGTGGAAGACTATTATTTGCTGGTGCATATGTTGGAGGATATCCATTTTGTGGGATAAAAGATGGATAAGCATTTATATTTTCATTCGGTGGTCGAATAATTGATATTTGTGAAGGATTCTATTAAGAAAATAAAATTTTGAATATTTTAAATTTCAGTGGTTTTTTTTTCTTTTTGTTTGAGACTAACCATTTGTCGTTGATTATGTGTAGGCATATATGAATGTTGTTGAAATCCTTGTGGAACAAAAAATGGTTGAGAGTAACCATTTGATATTTGTGGATTCATATACTGAAAATATTAAAGATTTGTTTAAATTAATATTCAAAAAAAAAATTTACTTGTTGAGGATTCATTCTTGATGCATATGCTTGTGGATTTCTTAATTGTGGTGGATATTCTAGACGAAAATAAATATTTATTAAAAGATTTGTTTTTTTTTTTTTTGAATTCTTTTTTACGTTGTTCCATGCTATTATTTTGCATATAATAACCAGTTGCTTGTTGTTGATGTGCTGCTGGATTAGCATAATATTGTTGTTGATCTGTATTCATTGGTTGCATATAAGAATAAATAATAATAATATAATAAGAACAAATATATATATTTTGATGTAATTTTTATATAAAAAGTTGATTCCGGTTCATCTTTTAATAACATAAAATAGAAGAAAAAAACAAACAAGATATAAATTAAAATTGTTTATTTATTATTTTTTTTTTTTTAGATTACTTTTTTAAAAGCAATGTTTTTTAAACAATTGCTGACTTCTTTGTGGACAGCGATGATTAATAAATAAATAAAAAAAAGATGAAAATGAAATCAAGTTTTTTGCGTTTTTATTTGTTTTTTTTTTTTTGATCGTCACTTATTGGACGAATGAAGGTTTTTTTGGGTAGTTTGGTTAAATACTAAAAATATGTCAAAAATAAACAATGTGTTATTTTTTGTGTCTTTTTTAAATAAATGAACAATGTAGGTATATTGTGATATGTACTCTGCGTCTGTATGTCCCTCTATATGACGAGAGTGAGCGAGAAAGACACAATGATGTTGCCGTTCGCATACATATTGTATGGGAGAGAGAGAAAAGAAGAAGAAGAAGAAGCTGAAAGGAGAGAGGAAAAAAAGTTATAATGTTGTGTTGATGTCATAGAGGATTGAATATGATTGTTAATTGGTTGAATATATTCAAATAAATTTCAATTTTTATTTTCATCTTTCCTCCTTATGGATTTTATTTCATTGTTAAGAAGAAAAGAAAAAAAAATTTTTTTTATTATTCAAATTTTTATTGTTTGATTGAAATGAATGAAAGATATTATTTTTTTTAGTGAGATCTAGATGTCGCTAATAGATGTCCAGCAATACTCGACATGTTTCTGCCGAAAAACTCGAAAACATGGGAGGAACTTGAAAGCAGGAATTTCATAATCTTGACATATATAAAAATGTTATTTTCCACATAGTAGAACAATGCATTATCTGTGTCAAAGATAACAGATGTTTTTAGAGAAAAATAGTTTCTTTCTATTTCAACTAACAGCATCATTTCTCTTTGATATGTCAATTGAATTAATATATCATATGACAACAATTCTCACTTCTGTTCTATATTATTATTTCTTATTCAATGACATTTATTATGTCAGTTGGTTTGATCCACTTAGATACTTTTTTTTTGTTCTTTTCGAAATCTTAATATGTAATAGGCTGCGGTAACCTTTATCTAAGATTCATGTACTAAAGAAAAACAAAAAGAACCTATTTAATCACAGAGCACTTATGATATCTTCTATTTATATCAATTGTTATTTGCTTACTTCAAGGCATAATAAGCGATAACTATTATTGCAAGTTTATCAAAAAAAAATGCTATCATCACAATTTCTACGACATTTTTATATACAACTTGTGTTTATAACTATTGTCTATAAACATGAAACTAACGCTAAAAATGTTACTTTCATTCCAGAACCTCTTCATATAACAGTAGAGGATCTTCCAGAACCATATGCCACACTATCGTTTAGTAAAGATGCCAATGTAATTCCCGTTCCTGAAGATCCGATGCTTTATATTCCTGATGGATTTACAGTTAAGTTATATATGAGTGGACTTACTATGCCACGTTACCTTATATACACACCAACGGGCGATATATTAGTTAGTGAACCAAGACTTCATCGAATATCATGTTTAATAGACAATGATGGTGATGGTTATCCAGACGAACGTACTACATTTGCTGATGCATCCAATGGACTTCATTTACCATATAGTATGGCTTTTGCTCATGGATATTTTTATGTTGGTAATCGAAATGCTACTCGTCGTTATCCATGGACAACAGGTAGTCGTCAAATATCTGGAATGGGTGAATCAATAGTGACTTATGATCCACGTGGTCATTGGACACGAACTGTTGTTGTATCACCTAATACTGATCGTATTTATATTGGTATTGGTTCAGGAACGAATGTTGATGTTGAACAATTACCACGAGCTTCAGTTCAAGTAGCTGATCTTGATGGTACTAATCAAAAGACATTTGCTCATGGTCTTCGAAATCCAGTTGGTTTAGCTTTTCATCCGATTACAAAAGATTTATATGTAACATGTCAAGAACGAGATGAACTTGGTGATGATCTTGTACCTGATTTTTTTACACGTATTGAACAAAATGATTTTTATGGATGGCCTTATGCTTATATAAGTTCAAATTTAACTGATCCTAGACGTCGTCTAGAAAATGGTACAAGTGAACGACCTGATCTAGTATCAATAACTCGAACACCTGATGTTCTTTTTCAAGCTCATTCAGGTATACTTGATACATGTTTTTATACAGGTACTCAATTTCCAATGAAATATCGAAATGGTGCTTTTGCTGCATTACATGGTTCATGGAATAGAAATACTGGTACAGGTTATAAAATTGTTTTTATACCATTCGATAATACAACTAACCGACCAAAGGGATATTATGAAGATTTTGTTACTGGATTTCTTGTCAATCCATCAGGACCTGATACATTTGGACTTCCTGTTGGATTACTTGTATTAAAGGATGGTAGTTTATTATTTACTGACGATGGTAACAATCGTGTCTATCAAGTGCAATACAATAATAATATGAAAGCTACAACTAAGGCTACAAACTAATGCTAATATTTCTATACTTTAGTATAAACTATGCAATTGATTGAAGCTTTCAGAAAATAAAATAATGTCTAGTTAACAACTACAGAAACATGAGTTTTACAAGACTTTGAGATTTTTATATATTCTTTTTTGAAATAATTTTATCGCACGAGATGTGATAATTTAACGCATATGTGTTTGAATCATGAGAAAAAGAGATGATGTTAATCTCTGGCACTTCTAGTACTAGTTCACTATTTGAGCATATTCGTAGTTGTGTTTGACTCGAATAAGTTTAATATTCTATCCCAAATCATTTCGATAAATAATATGTTTATTTTTAATAAGTAATTGTCGTGTATATGGTGATAAAATCAATGGTAATGGTATATTAACTAATATAAGCAAAACAAAAACAATTTATTAAGAAAATAAATTGAAAAACAACTTTTAGTTTTCATACTTGTTAATAGACCAAAAGTAATTGCTGCACAAGCAATCCATTTTCCTAAATAAGTAGATGGTAAAAAACCTTCAAAACCAACATTTGTAATAGCTAATAATGTATAATAAACACTATTTCCAACATTTGGAAAAAGTATAGTCGATGTTGGATTTGTTGTTCGTTCAATTGAATAAATAATTGCACCAAATACACAACTATTACCTATTAAAACAATGCTAAATGTTAAAAAATCCATTGAAGCTTCTCCTAAAATAATTAAAGACTTTATTTTGTTTTTCTTGTTTCGTCGAAGAAAACTAACCAAGAGATTCAAGAATAAGTTTTATTGATCTATGATATCTTCCAAGTTTCAACATTCTTAATGTTTTAAAAATATCAATTAATTGAAAGACCAATGTTATTGAATTAATATGATAAGTTAAAAGATTTTTTTGACGATTATATATTAAACTAAATATTCCATAAAGGATTGTATTTAATATATTAATTATATCAATCCTAAGAAAAATATTTAGTTTGACTTCTTCTATGTTAAACAATCGAATAAGATGTTCGAAAATTAGCTCTGGTAGAATTAGTCATATAGCACTTATTTGTACTTGTACAGATCGATTGAAAGAGTAATCAATGACTGTCACATAGATCAATATCACTTTTCAAGTAATTCAACATAGCTTAAAACCACCGAGGGAAAAACACTGGCCATATAAAGAAATCTCAATGAGAATACTCTCGAGAAATGATTTTATGATTTTTTTTTGCCTGCGTGGAGACTAACATATGTATTTCGAAGATAAGAAGAGTTGGTTATCCTCAACAGCTTACTATAGTGTACATACAACAGTCATTGATTATTTCGACCGCTGGGAACATAGTACAAACAAGTAACATAGATCTAATTGGACCAGAGATCATTTTGGGATAAATTAAACATTTCTTTTTACCAGAAAAAAAATGATTTTATACAAAGGTATAAACTTGGTGCAGAAAATATACGTAGAAATAATTCAATAGTCCAAAGAAAAATAAATATAATTTCAATTGAAAATGCTAAACGTGTTATATCAGGACGATAATCAATAACATGTACAGTTACATTAACAGGATGTATGATATTTTGAAAATAACCACGATATTTTTCAATAAATTCAAGAAAATTTTCATTTCTTGTTACAATTATTTCATACATAAATAAAAATATTGAACATATACATATTAAACCAAATATAAAATGATATAATGGACCAAATAAAGTTTCATTATATTCCATTGAACGCCAAAGAATTTTTTTTATTGATGATCGAGGTAAATAACGAATTTCAGTTGTATCTGATATTTGAGGAATATCATAAGCTTCTTTTAATTTTGATAAAAAATTATGTTCAACAAAGTAATAACTGAAATTTATATATTCAATTGTTATTGATTAACTAGCTCTACTACTTTTTTTAAGTCAGAAAGTTGAATGACCAATAACTTTTTTTTATATTTTGAACATGTATATCCGTTCAATGATACACGCAGACTCTTTACGTTTTTCATCATGCATAGAGACCATTCAATGGTTAAACAAAATGTTCGGCTCTGTTCGGAATTCGATTCATTACGATTTTCCGATATTAATGATATTTTATTATACAGTATCTCTAGAAAAGTGAACGAGGAGCTAAATATGAGTATACATCTTCTCTGCATCCATTCAATCACATTCATCTACATCCCAAGTATGAATTCGTTTACCTTTTGAAAAATATAATCCAAAAAAAATATATACTCAACTTACTCGAGTTCTTCAATATATAAATCCTATTATAGATATCATTCAAATTATTTTGTTTTTTTTCTATTTACATACAAGTGGTATATCAATAGGTCTCGATAAAATGCCATGATTAATATAGAAAACAAGTATTTCAAAAAAAGCACGATTACGTGATATACAATAAACTTGTCGAATAGGATCATAAAATTGTTTCATATATACAAAATTATTCAAAATTAATGATGGAATTTTTTTCATATTTTCTATATTTAATTCATAAGTATGACCTGCTACAAGATATATATGAAAAGTCATTAATATTCTATTTAATATAAATGCGCGATTTTTCTACATATATAAAAAATAGAAACAAAAACAAATTTTTGGAAAAAAAAAATTACATTTTAAAAAAACCAATATGGAGAAGCATTATTAATAAAAGTTGATTGAGGAGGTAATGGTGATGTATAAAATGAAAATGGTGCCTCATATGGAGATCTCGACTCATATGGAGATCTCGACTCATATGGAG